TGTGTGTGTGTGTGTGTGTGTGTGTGTGTGTGTTACCGTGACATGAAGCTCTCAGCTGCAGACAAAGGGACGGCTGGTAGGTCAATGGTTTCGGAACATGATGACTGGATGAAGCCATCGTCAACATTCACCAGGATGAGGTCCTCCGTCTCCTATACAGTAAAATAAATACACACATTCACTTTTGTTGTAGGTACAATGGGCACAATTCATTTCAGCACAGTGTGACTGTGTGCGACTGACAGGCAGCTACTGTTAAATATGTGAAACAAGTTTCTGTCAGATCTGAATGAACACAAATGCAGAGGAGGATAAAGAAGTTATTGTTAAATACTGTACGAAACTGTCAAATTCATTTATTTACATATTTAATAACTTATTTTGAATGTATGTATTTATATATTCTTAAGTCGTTTATTTATTTCTAACTTTGTCAACCGAGTTCAACCAAAACAATAAATCTATTGATAATTAATTACCCATTTTAAAGAACTTTTTTCCTATGACTCTAAAAGCAAATTTTTTTGTTTATCTAGTAATTAATCCTGGTTGTGACTATGTATGTGTTAAGAAATAGAATTAGTTAAATAAACAACACAAGAACATGATCATTATACACCCTCCCTAACAAAGGGAAGAACAACAGCTCTGAGATTAATTTGATACTTAGACCAAAATATCCAACATTTTCACTTGGGTGAAAAATCAGATTAGCCAGAACCAAGACTGTAATCACTGATGATGGGAAAAAAGCCTGTACATACAAAGTAATATTGGTAAACTCACGGCAGCAACCTCCTCAAAGTGACTGATGTGACAGCCCATGAGGAAGGCAGTGGGCGCCATGAGAAAGTCCAACATTCCTCTGGACAGGACAGGAACATAGGGCTGCTGCCAGGACAGAGGCTGGGAGAGAAGGGACAGGAAATGAAACTCAGGAGGAAGTTTATCATGTGTCTTCAGATTTTGTTCTCAGTATTTAAAGGTCCAGTGTGTAAGACTCAGGTGAAAGGGATCTATTGGCAGAAATTTAATGTGGAATAATCCTCATGATGTTTTCACTAGTTCATTTCATCTAAATTGTATGAATTGTAGTTTTCTTTATCCAAGAAAAGGCCCTTTATATTTAAATCCTCTCTACGGAGGCCGCCATGTTTTTTACCTTAGTCCAGACTGGACAAACTAAACACCTTTTGAGTTTTTATGAAAACTAAAGGCTACCACAGGTTCTTTTTCATGTTTGGAAGTGGAGGGTGAGGTGAGGGGTGTTTATACGTAATGTTCCTCTGACACTCACCTGCAGGTACAGCAGAAGACTCTCAGCAACCAGAGTGAGTCGAGCCCAGTCTGATGAGAAGAAGACCAGCCGCTGTTCCTGGAGAAGACACGACAGCACCTGGAGAGGAGAGAGTTAACTTTACTCTTTTTTCATTTAACAATTAGACTGAAATTACGTCACACTTTATTTTATCAATTCCTATTTCATCCTTTTTTCTGCAATGATGCTCTGTATATGTTTGAATTACCTGGAGGAGCGTTGTGTGCGTGAAGCAGAGGAAAGGTAGATGCAGATCAATGTCGATAACTGGGCTGTCCTGATCCTCCCTGGATGGAAGAACCACCTGAAGAGGACGGAGGCTGAAGGACTGATACACACACACACACAGACAGACACACACACACACAGACACACAAACAGGTGTTACTATAAAGATGAAGCAAAGATGTAAAACAAACATAAGAAGAAAATCAAGTGTTTTCTGACCACGTGTAGTTGACCAGGAGGTGGTAAAGGGACCAGTGACAGTTTGGCTGAAAACTCCTTGACGGTCTCCTCGATGTCCCCTTGTCTCGCAGGCCGCAATTGAACCAGAAGACTGAGAGGGAGGAGGTGTGAGACAAAGTAGAAGATACAGAGAATGGGTTAAAGTTGTCTGTGTAATGGAACACTTGACGAAGGTCAGGTTATCATCATCTAACAGAAGTTGTTACCATGACAAGCATTCTCTCAGAGCGTTGTAGTAGGGGAACTTGGAGATGACGCACACAGCGAAGGGAGCGTAGAGACGACTCTTTGATGAAGTCCATCTGTGGCCGTTCTGGACAACACCTTCCTGACAGAACTGACAGAGCAATGAGAACATCTGTCTACATTCAGTGGATTCACTGTGACTTTATGTGAAGTTTTCAAGTGTGTGTTTGTACCTGTACTGCTCTGTAGTACTGCACAACAACCCCATGGGTTCGGTTCCCAAACAAGTCCGTGAAAACCAGGAAGTGGTAACTGTCATCCTTCTGCTCATTGGCTAACTGAAGACCACCTTTGACAATGAAGAGGAAGATGAGCAAGGTCACAAGACAGAGCAGAGCCGTGTGCCACGTTCATGTATAAATGAGCTGGATTTTTGTAGAAGCTCTGGTATATACAGTATATCAAGTGGCAGGTGTCCGGGAGACACACACAAACCATGTGGATGCCTCACATCAGCCAAAGACCATAATTCAAAGTGATAACATATAGCACTGTGCTGTTTATGCTTTACCAGGGAAACACAGCTGCGGCAGAGCGATGAGGTCCAGATCCTTCGGAACACTGATGTCCTCTGTCACTGACGACACTTCGGCACGATTGGCTGTATCTCCATTAGATAACGTCTCCGCAACACGATCTCGCCTCTTCTGCAAAAATTATAAAAACAAAACTGGATCAGACTGCAAACAGATGACCGGCGTCCACATTTAAAAAACCTGAGCTTACCTTCTTGATGAAGCTCTTCCTCCTCTGGACACGGCTGAACGCTGGACCAATCGCCTGGTTGGAGTTGGTCTCCTTGGTAACAAAGGGTGGGGCATGGACTTGAAGTACCTCCGCATCCAGCAGGGGGAGTTCATTTAGCTTATTCTGCTGATGAAGCTGCGACACAGTTTGAAAATATTTCAAGTTTTTATTGCAGCACAGTTGTGTGATTCATGAAATACAGAAGGGCTACATTATCCAGACTCCAGTTTAATCCATTAATGCTTTTTATTTGTATTTGCACACTTTGTATGCCTACTTGAATGTGACAGCGTGTACATGAGTTTTTCGACGTACATACCTGGTATATATCTCTTAGTTTATCACTGGGGGCCCCAAACACCACACATGCCTCCAGCAGTCCAGACGGGAGCTCCGCCATCACACCCAGCACACCCACTGTGAGAAACACGCACAGATCATTATGACTTTGAGTGATGTGACAAAAAAAACACAGGAAGACATTTGTCAAAAGTCGTGGCCAAAGAGGAAATGTTGCAATTTGATGACCAACGACAGCTTCATTCAAGGGAAAGTTGGATAAAACAAGATTTTTGCACCAACATAAAGCATCTCGTTTAGTGGATCATCCTCAAACAGACATTTGTATCTGGTAATATTTTACCTGGACTTAATATACTGTGATCACTCATCCTTGTTATTGTTACACAGAGTCACTTGTAAAGTAACATGAGGACGAGAGGGTGCGGTGAAGTTCAGTGTATTTTAACCATGAATCACAACTGATTCCCAAACCAGATGCTTATCTGGTCTGAATTTAAGTTTACCAAATGAAAAAGCAAGAGCTTATTGTAAAATCACACACACACACACACACACACACACACACACACACACACACACACACACACACTTCTCTTTCCTCACAACCTCCTCCAGATGTGTACACATACACACACGCAATCTCATGTGGGCTCACTCATACACAACAGATGTTAGGTCTGTTGCATCAACTGAGTGAACTGAGAGGAAAACAGTGAAGCAGAACTTCGGGTTATCAATAAAAAATTACTTGTGATCAAAAGCTCATTATCAAAAAATGTTTCAATTCAATATCAAGAAAAAGGAGAAAATTGTGTTTACAAAGATGGAACCATTTCATTTTGATCAGTCAGCTATAATTACATAAAAATGTATATTGTTCCTGTCATTTTCTCAAAGAAGACAAAGTGATCCTGCTGATGTCTATTTTTCTGTATTCTTACCTCAGACTGCATTTTGGCAGGATTATGTGAAAAGGACAGATTACCTTGAAGCTGAGTGGAAGGATGTGGTATCGGTCAGGACGGAACCCAATACATTCTGGTGTGGATCCAGGATTCCTTTTTCAATTTGAATAGCTCTTAGGGTTTTTAAAGGGTGTTTTTCCCACATTTTCTCAATAAATAATGCAAAGATCTTTATGGAAAAAGCTCAGACATATGAAGAGCGCTAACACTGATGAACAGGCTATATTTTGTGAGGACCTGGATATTAATCCAGATTTTGTGGATCAAAATATCAACTACATCAGAGAATGGATGTTTTTCCTGGATTTAAACGTGAGCTGTTTGCAGAACATTAGCATTTGTACGACTGAATGAAGCTGCAGAGAACCACAGTCTTCTCCCTGACATAACCCTGCAGTACACTTACATACTAATACTCATCCTCTGGTATCATCAGTTCATATAAACGTACCTGCCCACTGTATCTGTACCTCTGGACGAACACATGAACATCTGACTTGCATTAGTTGCAGCTGCAGACTGAACCCAAGAAACACCACTGTTAGCTTGTACTTTCTTTCTCTTCACCATCTCTCAACGTTCCTGCTGTTTTCTCTCCTCACACCTCCCTGGACACTGACTATCAACCGTTCCACTACTTTTCACCTCTTTACTCCTATATTTGTTGTCTATTTTTGGCCCTGACTTCGCCTGTTTCTCTTCTTCCCCTTCGACACACTTGCTTTCTTTCTCTCTGTCTCTCTTTGTCTTTAGGCCATTCTGGCCACTGACTAACTACCCTGCTGTGTCACGGAAACACAGCAAACACATTTAAGTCATCTATTCCCCGAAAACCCCTCATTTGTAAACTCTAGATACATCTTACTCATGCAAACTACTGCAGACCCACTCAAACATCTGATAAAACCCAGATGTTGTGAATGTTGCTGAGGCACACGAAGAGGGACACAGAGAGACTCCATCAAGAATTTGAATCTATCTGAATAAGATCAGTGCGTCTACAGAGGTTTTTGAGAAATAATAAGAGGGAAAAAATGCCCAGAGTGGAAGAACTCCTCAACATCACAGCTAATAAAAATAAAGTCAGGCTTTGAGGAGGTAACCCCATGCTGAGGCACCCAGAGGCTGCACAGGGACCTTTAACAAACAAGTTTTGCTTCATAGCTCAGGGAGGAGGCAGCTTTGATGTAATCGACTCAACAACAGCTACAGTTACTGGCAGCGTGTGTTTTATGTAAGTGAAATACACAGATGAGGGAGACTGCTTCCTAAATGGATGTGGTTAGAGGTAATATGCTTACACAGAAATAATTGTGTTTCTAGGACTTGACAGATGTGATGTTAGTTTTTTCCGGGAACAGTGAATGTGAAACACTAAACAGAATGAGAAATCACCATTCAAAGGAAACACATGGGGAAGTTGCTGACTCATTATTGTTCTTTGCAATCGGTTGTTCACATGAGGTCTACATTTCTAGATTGACCAGTTAGCAATGTTACGATATGTAAACACAGTCCTACTACATTGTGCACGATACTGAAAACAGCAGGTGTCTTTCTTTTCTAAATCCAACTGAATTCATGAACATACACAGAAAAAGGAAAATTGTATATTGTAATTATAAAACTTTGCACTTAAACTGTTTCCTACCACAACCTGCAAAAATGGTTTATCATCATTTCATTGTTTTGGCAGTAAAGACTAAGCAACATGCGGTTAAAGTGAGGAGACGATTACCTCTGATTCATCATGTGCACACAAATACACATATGTAAAAACAACAGGATTGATTCAACTGCAAGATCATTTTAACCTGAACGAACTAAACACCTTTTGACAAGTGAGGGTTTCCACAGGTTCTCCTTCATGTTTGGAAGAGGAGGGGGAGGTGAGGGGGATTCAGCTGCAACATGCGACCTCACCAGTAGATGTCACTAAATTCTACACACTGAACCTTTAAGAAATGTAGTTAGCGTTGTGTTGCATTATAAGGAAATATATGTCTATAGAAATGCAATACAGTTTAAGAAAAGTACGGACGACAGGCTCCATAATAAAGTGAATCAAATGGATATGTACTTGTTTTTGTTGTTTTGTTTTTTATTGTCAGTATTCCTGTTTAAATCATGGGTTTATGGAATAGCTAGTTTGGATGGCATGTATAATGCACATGAATAATCCTTTTACATATATATATTAGTATTTATATCAGATAGGTCATTTTATTTTCTTTCAGGTTGCCCATAGATACACATGATCTTGTCGAGCTGACTCAGTTACAGCAGTTACAGCATTTTGTCTGTTGATTAATGAGCTTCCTGTCAAATAAATACAATGAAAATAGAACGACATAACAAAATAAAGATCACCACCTCTCTGCAGCAGTTTCGACACATTGATTGAAAAAGAAACTGAGTCAGCATCATTTCGAACAAGCTCAGTTTCAACGTTAGAGTGAGAGCACAACCAGCTGCTATTCACCAACACAGATAACGTTGACAACATGGATTGAATCTTTACTGACAACGTGCTTTGAGCTAAACTCGACACGTTGCCACCAGTCGAGCCAGATTCTTGAAACAAGTTTTAAAAAGAAGCATGGACCCACCTGGACTCACGCGATCATTTCATTTCCACAGTTTCAGCAGCTTCGACCTCTTGTCATCGACCTCCTGCACTTTAAGTCTCCAGCTCTCACTAATCTTTTTATCTGAAGTCTGTGACTCCGACTCTGACTGAACTGAGACCAACGCACCGCAGCTCTGAGTCTGTCAAACTCCACTCAGCAACACTTCCTGTGTTACACGTTTCAAAATAAAACCCACTTTCAAATCTGGGTCCAAAAGAGCTCCTATGGCGCCATCTACTGTTAGCTGAGGGTGTAGACTGTGAGTTTAATAAAGATGGACCCAAAATTGAAGCCATCAGCGTCTTGATAGCCCCCTGGTGGCTGGTGTAGATGATAAAGCTACGCCTCCTCCTTGTGAGTTAATGGAGCTAAACAAAAAGAGTCAAAGTGTTCAACATATTTTTCTCCTCTATGGTTTCTGTCAGATGAAGTATTGCTGGAAACACTGAGGTGTGTTCGTGTTCATGTCTCTGGTTGTTTTTATTTGGTTATTTGACGCTATCGAAACAGGGTGAAGGGGTGAGCTTGGATTTGAGCTTGGAGTCGGAAGTTGCAACAGGAACACCCCCTTAGTTTTAAAAACATAATTTTATACTATTGCATGATTTTAAATCTTTCCAACATGATAGATGACTGACCATGATCGTTTAGTTGTTTCTGTGTCGTGGCTGCAACAACCACAGTTCATCTCTTGGTGATGGAAGATTCTTCTTAATAATGGTTATGTTTGGTTTGGACTTTTTTTTAAATTCACTTATACTGATATACTTTCTTTTGCTGTGTTTATATCAGTAGTTTATTTTTTTCCAACGTGTTGAATAAAATTTAAAAAAAATGAGTGTGACTGATTCTACTGAGAGTTCAACTGTGATTTTCACAGAGGAAATAACATCTATTCTCTAATCTTGCAGCTTTACTGAAGATTGAATTGAGAACCGCCTCTTCTCCATGGATCTATACCCCGAAGTGCTGGGGCTATAATCGGACCTCAATAGCCAGCCGTGATCGTATAGTGGTTAGTACTCTGCGTTGTGGCCGCAGCAACCCCGGTTCGAATCCGGGTCACGGCAGCTTGTTTTGAAAGGAACATATTAGACTCAGGTGGATGTCAGAGCAGAAATCCAACAGACAAATTCAGCATAGATTCTAACAACACCTAAATTAAAACCACACATTTAATATGTTCAACTTGCTGTTCCTTATATAACTGATTTATTTCATCCTTAATTAATAGAGAAGATATTAGATCATCGGTTCAAAGCGTTTTCAGTTTTTATTTTTAGCAACTGGACGTTGTTGCATGGATGTGGCTGCAGACGTGTGTCCACCCCAGAGAGGCCTCAGGGCCGAGCTCACAAGGTGTTAGCCTTTTGGATATCATGGAGAGGGATGACATACATTGTAATAATTCATCCAAGACAAAGAAAAAAACAATACAAGCCTGCAGGTTAGATTAATGGACCTATATGAAAATCCATACCCTCAGGAAATGCAAATATACTGCTATTGCGACTTGTGACCACCAGGTGTCAGCGTTGAGCCTGTGTACACAGTGAAATCACATATTGTGGCATTATTTTATATATTGATTGTATAAATGCAACAGTGCGAAACTTGTTTATTGTGTTTATATTGTCTTTAAGTATTTATCACTTTTCACTATATTCTGCTCGAACAGGGTAGATTTCCCCAGGGTGCGATTAATTAAGGCTCATCTTATTTTATCTTATCTTAATACTTTCCAAAACGAAATCATGACCGAGGATATTTTCTTTCTTATATACTACACAGTTCCACCTGTGAACGTTGTTTTTGCTCACACTAATCATGTTGTCCGAATAATCTGAAAATTGAGTTCCTCTGATGGGAAAAAGTCACATGAAGTCATGAACAAGTCGAACCAAGTCGTAAAGTTTGCAAACATTGTGGAACACATTGATGTGAGTTGATGAGTGTTCGACCACATAACAACTTCAGAAAGCACGAGGACAGAAGTCTGAAGAAACGACTGCTGATGAGGGGGAGGGGAAGGCTAGATCTCATTTGTGGGCACGAGGGTCTTCATCCCGTGTGGCCAGCCGTGATCGTATAGTGGTTAGTACTCTGCGTTGTGGCCGCAGCAACCCCGGTTCGAATCCGGGTCACGGCAGCTCCTTTTAGCAGGATGGTTCACTGACCTGCCTTCAACACACATCAAGCACCTCACCACTCACACACCTGAGGGTTTATACACTGTGGTCACAGATGTGTTGATATTTGTTGTAGCAAATGCCTATAAATCAAGTAAGAGTTTGTTCTCTGCAGCTATTTCACATCTCTATTTACTATGTGGATTAAGATTATCAATAGAAAAATTCAGCCATTAAAAAACTCAAAATCCATCCAGCAACATATACAATTATACATTTCTAGCTATGACGAAAACACATTAATGCACCAATAATCAAGATAAGATAAGAAAATCCTTTATTAGTCCCATGATGGGGGAATTTGTAATATTACAGCAGCAAGTGTCAGAAATAAGCATCAGTTATAATAAGTAACATGCAGTACTTAAGTGATAGAAGACAAACAAAATATAGAAACATATGAATAGAATAAAAACTGATATATTCAGTGTAAAACAAGGAAAATATGTGCATTGAGAGAATATGTACGGTGAATGAATTGCCCATGAACCATTGTATTGCACAGACCGATGAATATTGCACAGTTAAAGGTTCAGTGTGTAGAATTTTGTGATATCTAGTGTTGAAATTATGTTGCAGCTGAACACCCCTCACCTCCCCCTCTCCTTCTAAACATGAAAAAGAACATGTGGTAGCTTCAGTTTTCATAAAAACTCAAAAGGTATTTAGTTTGTCCAGTCTGGACTAATGTTTAAAACATGGCGGCCTCCATAGAGAGGGTCCACTCCATGTAAATATAAAGTATTTAAATATAAAGGGCCTTTTCTGGGGTAAAGTAAACTACAATTCATACAATTTAGATGAAATGAACTAGTGAAAACATCATGAGGATTATTCTACATGAAATTTCTGCCAATAGTTCCTTTCACCTAAGTCTTATACACTGGACCTTTAAGAGAGTTATAATCCAATGATATAAAACACTTCACTGCACTTTTTTTTTACTGTATGTTTGTTTGATGATACTGCTATTGAAACTTTGAATTGCATGAGTTTTACTTGTATTACATAAAAGTTCTGAATATATTTCCTCCATCACGTTTGTTCATCTCATCAGGACAAAAGTAGAATGTGTCTTAATGTTGTATAATTAAGTTGTAATCGCATGCAAAGTGTAAACACGTCCATTCATTCATGGGTTTCCTGCTGCAGGAGCTTCCACACAGGGAGGGAGTGTGTGTGTCTGCAGCAGCCATATTGGAATGCTGGATGTGGAGAGAGAGAGAGAGAGAGAGAGAGAGGAAGAGAGAGGGAGGGAGAAGCAGGAACAGTCGTCGGGAGTGAGGGTGAGAGGAGAGGCGGGGAGAGGGTGAGCCAGACGGGGCGAAGCGAAAAAACTTGGACCGTAAACTACACCCAGCCCCCGCGACTTTTCTAACGGACTATCCACCGACAGTTCGCCGCTTCTACTGCTGCCGAAGTCGGCACGAAGCTGCCCGGACGTCCCCCCCCCCCACCTCCACTGGGACAAGTCAGCGGTGAGTGTTGCGTGAGTTTTGCGGGGTTATTCCACGAGCTGAACAGGGAAGAAAAGTGTGTGTGATGAACGCGTCGCAGCCTCCGTTACCTTTGCTTTTTAAAAAAGAACCATCAAAAGAAGCTAATTTGACCGTTGGCTCGCTTCACGCTAACCGGGACAACATCCGGAGAAGTTAGCTTCGGCGGCGGCGTCGCACTTTTCCTTTTTAGTAAGTTGAGGAGAAAAGAGTGAGGCACCGTCACGGCCACAGTCACATGGAGTCAGTGTGGAGTTGAACGAAGTGAACCGGATTAACCCACATTTTCAGCCCGGATCTCCCTCCTCATGCGTTCGTTTCACTCTGTATCATAACCGGAGTCTACCTGCATGTGTCTGAGCTCTCGGCTCTCTACCCTAACCACCCAGTTGTGTTGAATGTTCCTCCTTTTGATTCAGATGTGGAGGTTTAATTGACCCAGTTATGTTGAATTATTTACCACGTGAGTGTGTTAAGTAGTTTGGTTTATGTTAGTGATGCGGTGTATTTATTCTCAACAGAATTGGATTTATCTGCACATTTAATCAAATAATCAATGACCCAATCTGTAGGAAGTTGATCAGCAACTCGATAATATCGATAATGATCTTGATGAATGTCACATTATGATTTCTATGATAATAAAAATGAGGATTTATGCCCAATTTGAGCTTTTTCTAGGAATCAAATCAAGCAAAGGTTAATTATGTTTAATATTTTGTGGTGGTTGTACAGTTTGAACCCTTGAATAAGTGATTATTTGATTTTATGAATCCATGGAAAACACATCAGGTCTGTGATATCTGTAATAAGCTGGAATAGTGAAGTTCATTCATTTTCTATTTCATGTTGGAGCCTCCTCAAGAGGTTTGTTAAATACATTTCCTGTTTTATTGATTGCCTATTGTAAACACATACTCAAAGATTCAGTGTGCTTTTCAAATACTGAAGTCAGTACTCAGAAAAACATGGTTCTCTATCTTCTGCATTTTGTGTTAAAGGGCTGAGGTGCGGAGCCCTTTTTTGCCTCTACTTCATATTCCAGATGCAAGAAAATGCTAATGAATTGCAGTATCCTGAGGCCACTGCAGCTTCAGACTTGCAGTATACTAATAAGCGTGCCGTTCTGCACACTTATATTTGCAATTCTGTAGACGTGCTGCACCTAAACCTGTAGTCTGTATACTGAGGAGATCTGATTTTTAGACTTTCTTTTAGACTAAACTTTCTTTTAGGATGTGGTGTGAAACTTACAGACACTTGTAATAAATAATGATAAAAAGATGAAAGTATATTTTTTACGTAAAATGTAAACAAATCTTTTATGCATTCTTTATTCTGAACAATTACAATATTTTTGTCCCACACAGACATATCTGTCAATGCACACAATATTTCTGTGATATTACTTATTGGCCAATTACTTATTGGTTGGACTTAAAATGCAGAAACAGTGTTTACTGGCAGTTAGTTGTCCTAAAATAATCCAGGCCCTCTTTACTCAAGCAAGCCGAGTATGGTGATAGTGGTTATGTAACAATTAACTCTTGAAAATGACAAAACAGCTTTTCTGGTGAGAAGAAAGTCTTTGCGAGACACATGGTCTTCCAGTACAACAAGCCAGAGTGTTAATGTCTCATGTAGCTCTTTTAAGACACATAGCATCAAACGCTGTCAACTGTAAAACCGAATCTTCTCGCCTATTAATTTAAATGTAATTGGCTGGAAGAGACATTCACAGAGCAAACCTGCAAGCAAGCCTTCCCCCTGCTCATCCACTTGATGAGCTCGTATTTAGTTCCACTCCAGCTGCGTTCATTAGGTCACTTACCGTTACAGTGTGACGCCACATGAGAAACAGTCTTTGTAAGGGCAGTGATCACTTCCTGTGGATGTTCTTATGCAGACGATCGTTATGTTTCTTGAGATAGAGATAGTCTGATTTTGAATACACTGAAGTTCATCCAATTCATGTGCTTTTGAGCCACATTGTGCAGCCTCAGTCTACTCATTTGGCATCATAGGACCAAAATGAATGCTGTGTAATCCATTATCTCAAGCAGAAACGTATCATTACCGAGTGAAAGAAGTTGTTTTGCTTCATTTTCAGACACGCATCACATGTATCAGGGAAATTCCTTTACAAAGACCCTCTGCTTTAGTTTGTAGGTTTTTATTTACGTTGCATTATTGTAAGAATGTCATTTTAGGAGGCTTTTTACATGAATGTCAGTTGGACGAAATAAACAGAAGTCAAAGAGAATAAATGTGTACACCTTTCTGACTCAACACCTCCTGTGGCTAGTCTAGTCTGCAGGCTAGTACAGGCGTAGCAGTAGTGTGTGTGAGTTTGACTTTGCTGAGTGATGTTTTTTTGGGAAGGTGTGGACATTTTGGCCGGTCACTACGACCTCAAATGTCTGTTTGACAGTTAAAAGCATTCAGGTTAGAGTTAGGTTAAAGGTTGAGGTCTGGCTGTGATGATTACAGTTAGGGCAAGGACATGCATTATGTCAATGAGTGTCCTCAAAAGGTGTGTGTGTGTGTGTGTG